ATATGTTCGTGCTGGCAAGCTCCAACATAGCAAAAGACATCCCTTCGGATCCCTTCGGATTGGGTGCTAGATTGGCTTGACGTTTTCAATCAAAAGAAGTCAGCCCAAAATGGTTCCCAGAATTATTCCAACCTGTCTCATGGCGGGTCTGTGAGGAAGGACAATGTCAACCAGTGGGTGGACGGCTTCGGCGACTTGCCCGATAACTTAGTCCGCTTCGCGCTGACCTTGCCGTGGTGGCAGGCCTTGTGGGTGCTGCAAGTAGCATTGCACGTTTGCTTGCATGGCTTTACCATTGTCGTGCAGTATATCTACTTGAAGGACTCATGTCTTGAAACATCATTGGAGTAGGCTTCAGGATGGGAGGTGCAGAGCTTCGGACAGGGCTTTCACTTAGTCAAAGAGCTTGTTGGTGGACCGAACAAATGCCGTTTTTCGAGCAGTCAAACTGGAGGACGGAGAGGTTTGCCCCGCGGAGTCCTTCGTCAAGCTGCGGGAAGAGTTCAATCAGAAGGCTTGGACCAACCATGATTAAGCCACAACTTTGCCAAACGAGTCAGAAAAAAGCTTTACCTTGCCTGTGTTGTGCAGGACGTTAAAGAGATGAGGGACCGCTCGCTGAAGCAATCGTACATGGAGGCCCAAAGGTTAAGACCAGCAACAAGAGCATTCTGATGAATGCTGCCAGCGATGGTTTTCAGAGTAGTGGGAGGGAACGCGAGCAACCACTTGCAATAGCAATAACGGAAGACCATCCTACATGCTCTGAAGTTGTAACTGCAGGGGTGCAACGAAAGCCGTGCTTTGATGACAAGCCGTTCAAGCGTTGTGTACGTTCAAGTGTTGAAGGGCATGCTCAAGTTGTCTGTTCTTTGCTTGGCTCCCGCGCGCAGACAATCGGATTCCAGTCGTTTGCCAGCTTCATGGAGAAGAAGATTGAGCACATGTTTGCAGATGCCATCAACCCCGTGCTCGACAAGCTGAGAGATCTCAAGGTGCATTCGTTCTGTGGATTTTAGGCATAGTGCTTGTGACAGCATGCTACCTCCAGAGTTGCCAGGGAAAGTGGACCTCCAAGGAACAGAGCTTAGTTACTGAGCACGAGGAGACGGATCCTCACAGGAGCAATGTGCACAAAGTTTGTGAGTCTGAAGCAACTCGTGCATCAAGCTGTGTCCCATCTAGTCTCCGCGGCCCATCTTGTCTCAGAAGCTAGGTGCAAGCGTACGTTGACAACAAAGCCAAGGCTAACATGTAGCACTTATGCTGGTGTGGAGCAAGGTTTCGTGAAAAGGGTTCTGCAGCTGTAGGAAAAAGGCAGGTGGACGTAGAGACTTGTAGTTTCTTTGCGCACCGTTTGGAAGAATGCATGCAGAGCCAGCAGAACTCCGCGCGCCAGCACCCGCGTCCTCCACGTCCTCCGAGCAACGAGAGCACAATCAGGAACGGCGAGCTTCTTGGGCATCAAATCAAAAGGCAAAGAGCACTGCGCTGTAAGTGGTACAGAAATGTGCAGAAGTATGCTTCCAATGCTGAAGTCAACTCAGGACGGTGAGGCGGAGATTGCGGGAGGTGGTGGCCGGGAGGCCACGCGGGAGGCTGACAAGGCTGGAGGCGCCACGCAGAGGACTCAGAGAACCGCAAATGCCTTGTGTGCCAAGCGCAGCCACGGTGTGATGAGCGCTATGTCGGGAGCTGATCTTGCAGCCGGTGGCATCCGAACGGGTGCTTGCGCAGATGCTGGAGCTGGCATCGGCCTGCCAGACCCCATGGGCTCAGGGCCGGAAGCGCCTAAGCGAGCCCGAATGGGTGCCATCGCCTCGGCGGCGGCAGAGCAATGGGGGTTGGACCTGGAGAGCCTCGAGCTTTGGGCTGAGCGTCGGCATCTGCCGGGAGTAGGCCTCGCAGATTTGCTGGACTACCGCCGTGACCATCCCGAGGAGGACATCTCAGCGGGCCTGGCTTCCATACCCGTCTTTCACTAGAGCACTTGCCATCAGAGACATCAGGAAGAGGGTTGTGGCCAGAATCAGCACAGCAAGATGGCCTTGAACGACAGCTGCGGCAACTTCCAGAGCGTCCGTGACCTCCCTCCCTAGTTTCAACGTGCAACCCTTGGACGCATGCGGTATCCTGCTCAATCTCTACAAAATGGGCATGCTTGGTGCAACATACGTGTGGGGAGCGCTGCCAGCAACTGTAGTAGTCCTCCAATCTGCAACAGTTGCTGTTTGCATGTCTCGTAGCACAGTCGCAACTCCGAATCTGCGCAAGACTCGCGAAGTTGTCCCCTTTCACTCCATTTGGACAGGATCTTGAGCACAACCCGAGAGTGCGGGACTTCCTTTGCACAGGCCTTAAGGCATGTCATGGAGGCGGGCTTGGATCAACCAGAATTGCAAGCTGGAGAGTTATGTCTCATGAGATTCGATGTGGAAATGCGACGGAGAACTCGAGAGCCAGCATGCGCGCTTTCATGATCATTGCTTCGCCAGGGTATCCCAAACCTCATGACGGGCCGGATGAATCTCGATTCGGAACTGAGGCAGTTCCATGAACACCACCTAAAGGCCGATGCTTTCCTTGTGGTGCTGTGGCACCTTCTGCAGCACTGGTGTTCCAAGATTTTGTTGCCCGAGGTCGGATCTGATCATTTTGTGATGCTTCCGTCAGAGGATTTCTGCGACCTAGATGACTACATAGCGTACCTCCCCACCATGACAGCAAGACCCATGCTTGGGTATGCACCGGAATCAATGTGCGAGGTACCTCACGAACGAGATACAAGTTGGGGCATCTGACGCAGAGGCTAGACCAGGGCAGGAGATTCTGCAATCTCATCAGTGTTGACGCTGAATGGGAATGATGTGTGATTGACGTGAGCATTGTCTCGACCCCTTTTCCCGAAAGCGTAGCAGAAGGGTTCCCGTTTTAAAGTTGGGGTCCAGGGGTCC